AGAAAGACTTTGCGTCTTTCTCCATAAGAGCATTCCTTATTAAATGAACAAAGGACACTTTTATTTGAATTTCAAATAAAACCTCCATTAGCTTTTTAGTAAGGTTCATCAATTGCTTTCTAAATTGTTTCATATCGTTTTTTTAAGCATATACTAACAATTTTCCGTGCCTTCTAGTAATACGATACATTTATATGTATTTCAAAGATCAAACTATTAACTTTGTATTCAGGTCTTCAATTGCTTTTGCTGTCAATAAAAAATTGCACCTTGTCACAAGATATTCTTGTTTAAAAGACAGTGTTGCAGGATACTGATGATTTTGATACGAGTTAGATAAATGGGCCAGTCACTTTAATAAAAGTGCATGTAATTTGATTTTTTAGCGGAATATTTTTCTCTTTTCTAAGCAAATTCCTTAGAGTATCATAAGTAAATAAATTTTGAATTTTGTACCACTTTTCAACAGAATCCTTAATCATTCAATATGTAAGGGATGTTCTGTGTATGAATAATTTTCTAACATCATACGTTACCCAAAAAGTATTTGTAGTTTGAAGTTTTTGAAGATTCTATGGTCGGAAAATGACTTTGTTTCGATATACAGTCCCTTGTTATAGTGTATATCGAATTCTGACTGATGTATTTCATACAATGTGTATAATAACCAGGTACATATGTCGCAAGAGACATAACGACAGGGGATGCTTAGTCCTCACTGGCACCTGATCCCTTTTCTGAATATTTCTAGAAGCTCTAGTTCCTCATATAAGAATTTGTATTGAGTATAAATCTTGTTATCGTCACAATTCAACATCACTAATCGAAGGTTTGTAAAAAGAATGCCAATGAAATAAAACAAATCTCTACAAATATAAGATTTTTATCTCGAATAATTGTCTCTCATGAAGCTACAATACTAAGGAAAAATGAGGATTTTCAATTGAGCTATATCAATTGGATTTGGAATGCATGAATTATTGTAAATTTCAGATGTTGTAATGGTCTGTTTGATGAAATCATCCATTTCCTGAAGCATTCTTGGAAAAAAAAGAACATTTGAAAACTTTGTAAGAGATATAATTACAAAGAGTGTACCTTATTTACAAATATCATGCAAGGTACCTGAAGGAATACAATGTTCAATGATTATACTCTCTCTCTCTCTCTCTCTCTCTCTCTCTCTCTCTCTCTCTCTCTCTCTATCTCAGGTACTAAAAGAAAACATCCCTCAGCACATAAAATATTAAAATCAACCTAGCAGCTAATGAATCTAATTATACAATATGAGGAGAATTTATGACACTCGGCAAGTTAAAAAGTGATAAATGAGTTTTCCAATGTTATCTGCAACATTAACACAGTGTAAGTAATTTGCAAACGTCACAAAATCAATGTATGTCTATTGCTTCTCGTATGCATTGCTATACGAGCTTTATTTTACTGTTCATTCATATAACTTAGTATATAAATTTATTCTAGAAATTGTTTAATGACTTTCAATAATTTTCATTTTAAGATTACAATGTGTGAGATCCAACTATTCACAATAAAAGTCCACTGACCAATTAAAGACATAATGCATAAGGAGCACACATAGTTCAAAACATAAATGGCATAACAATCTCCCCACAGGAAGATGAAATTCAATGCCTTAAATTAACATGCAAACATAAATAGGTATATTTAATTGAATTCTTTATTAGTATGTAAATTCCTCGAGCTAAGGAATTTGTTGTTAATATGTAAAGTGATAATTAACCAACCTAACTGTCTTGAACTCGAATACAGTGGTTTGATTTCAAAACGATAAACATAAGTTTAAAATACCAGAATTTTATATCTGATGTGAATTTATATATTTCCAAATTGGTTTTGTTTCATCATTGATAAAATAACTCATAGTGATTTTATTATATTCAAAATAATCTCTCAATTGCAGCCAATATTTAAAAATATTCAAAAACAGCTTGGATTTTTTCGCGGAATTTAATATTTATGTGCACCCCTCTTTACAACAGATAACTCAAAGTTTCTATTACTTAAATTTAAGTTGGTATTTTATGTTAAGTTTTGTCCCTTAATGGATTAAAATAAAAGAATAAGAAACCGTAATCTTCTCAAAAGTTCATTTAAACAATGTAGATTTTGAGTTGCTTCTTGTCATGGTCGGTCAAACGGAAAATTCGTAGACCAATTACATGCAGTATAAAAATTAAGGATTAAATTAAGCATATTTCTAATTATCTTAGAAAGTTTGTCAGACATCCATAAATAAAGCTTCAATTATTTATTTGTGTATAAAAACGACAAAGATTACCTGTATATAACATTTTATTTTTCCTTAAAATGAATACTCATGTGTGTAATATCTGGTAGAAATGTTTGTGATGAAACATATGGAGATAACGAACAGTATTCAAGATCAAAAATTCATTAAACAATACAAAATAGGAACAGAGAAAACATGGACCTCCAAAGCATCAGAGGTGGGATCAGGTGCCATGTCATTTTCATTAACATAACTTCTGTGATTTGATTCAATCTCATAACAATTGTTTTGAAATTAGTCATTTTGTGTATGCTTTTCAAATTAGATGTTCAAAAAAATCTAGGCAAATATAAGATATTGAATAAAATCTGTGAGAGGCAATGGATTTTTATGCTGTGCAAACCAGTGTCAGCAATCGTTCTTGAATTCAGCGAAGACGCAGTCAATCTTTCAGCACGAAAGAACGTAATGAATAATAAAACACACCAATGTATTGCTCTCATTTAATCACTTACCCAGGTAATGAAGGTACAAAAGACCGAATATTATCAGCTTTGCTACAAGTGGTCAATAAACGTATATTACATCATTGATTGAGACGGGAATTGAACTGCCTAACCTTACCAGAGGTCTATAACAGTGTACAAGGTTTATCTAACAGCAGATAGGGCTTCTGTAATCTTATTTCTCCGTTAGACCAATCGTTTATCAACGGTCCTTTCACTGTAATATATGACATTTATGGTTGTTGTAAACAGACCGGATGCAGAAACACTTCATCTGCAGTTTTAACCATACATAAAATATTGCTTCTATTAAAAGAATCAAACATCATAAATACTTGGTAGAATATAAGTGCAAATGATAACCTCTCAAAAATCGAGATATAGTTTTAAAAAAAAAGAGCCATTGTTTGACGCTTTTAACAATATAAAATTTTACAAAAAAAGTTACTTTTTTATGTTTGGTTTTCATTTTAATTTCAGGAAGGGACTTCAAATGTTGAAGCTATTTTCTGTTATCGATTCTTTGTAACATATGGACAACAATTTCTTTAATGACTTGAAATCCCATTGGAAAAGGATTTTGAAAATACTACATGTAATAAGTCCAAAAGAAAAAGTTTTTCGTTTCAGTAAAGCTTGTATACATAAAATATATTCGGAAAGGAATCCAAAATATTATTTAAGGATTCTTTTTCAGGTGTCAATTTGAACCTATTTTTCATTCTTTATCGCTTTTAAGCTTAGTTATCATATTTATGTTCCTTAATTTGTATAACATTGCCAAGCATTTATGCTTAGAGCTCGTTTATGCTTAGGGCAGAGGGATAAGAACACTTGTGAAAAAATGAATAATGTCATTTATTTAGTAATGAAACAAATGGAGATAACGAACAGTATTCAAGATCAAAAGTCCATAAAACAATACAAAATAGGAGCAGAGCAAACCCGGACCTCCAAAACATCGGAGGTGGGATCAGGTACAATGGAGGAGCAGCCCCTGCCAACCGGTCACACCCGCCGTGTTCTCCTTGTCATGATCGGGATATAACGGAAGAATACTAGTATACAAATCAGGGGATCATTCATGAACATGTAACTATAGTAATAATACATTGTAGTGCAAAAACCAATCATGATCCACTATTATTCTACATATGAAAATAAATATCTATACAAAACAAGAGATTGTGGGCCAAAGGACTAAGAACTAGGAAAATAATAACTTTGTTTTCATCGTAGCCTTTAAGCATCTAGCGATACATCGTCCAAAAAGTTTCTTTCCCCTAAATTGAATGGTATTTTTTTTTATCTCTTTAAATGGTTCAACATAGATCAAATTAAGACAATAAATGACATTGTTCTGAAAATAATCAATACTGCAGACAAAAATACGGTACCTTTCCGACGTCATCTTGTTAATATCAACCTGATATCTACTTAGAAAGTTATTTCTAGAAGTCATTTTCTTATATTGATCAATGTATTTTTAACAATGATTTGATATCTCTGTAATTAGCTTGGATTCTTCTGCCTTGCATTAGACTCTATATTCTATTAAGATACGGATAAGAAATTAATATTTCAAAATCAGTTGAGTAAAACGTTTACTGCTGGAGCATTCTTCAATTAGTAGAGGTTTAATTTGTGAATATCTTTTCATTTTCTTTTTAACTTTCCCTGTCTCATCCGAATTTTATTAAGCAAAAGTTATAAGGTTGTTACATTTCTTGTGGGCATCATCTGAGATACTCTTCCCTTGATGAGTGCCATTGTGAACTTTTACTTGTAAATCCAATATAAAGGATGGCATGTACTTTTAATTATGCATGTGATCTTATCTTAAAACTGTAAGACAATTATAACTTTCGATGTCACTACACTACAGATTTCAAAGGAACAAACTAATTGAGGGATTAAGTATGACATCCTCTATTATTTTGGTACGATGCTGCTTCCTAAATTGATTTTTGATGCATATCGTTACATTATACTAAGTACCGATAGTACATATTCTCAGTTTTTGAACACCCACATCAAGTTTTTATATCTTAACTTTTTCTTTTAGCTGTAAAACAATTTTTGCTTGACAACATATCTTACAAAGTGATGAAATCACCTTTATATCCAACGAACCTCCGATATGGGAACAATTTGTTGAAAGATTATTATATTTTGCACGATAAATCTATACAAACAGAAGGCTGTTGTTTTCTTTTACACAGCTGTAGTCCAGAGCTCTGTTGATTACTGATATTACCTGACTCTGTCTTCATCATGAATGAGATGAAATACCAAATGGCTTTTTTCTTGACGGCAGGTGAGTAATATGTCTTCTATTCCAGTGGATTAGTGGGTCTGAAATGCGCAAAATGACTCTACTTTTAGGCTATAATTTCCAAGAATCAATAACTTTTGCAGCAACAGACATCCTCGGGTTAAGATAAATTAAAGAGAGAAAGAATTCAGGATGCACTTCTTTTAAACGAGCAAAACCCCAAGACCGAGAAGCTCCAGTTATGAATTATAATGTTCACGTAAATGTAGATCTATAATAAATATCAAATTATATTCATTTTGCCCATTTCAGTACCGTCATAAACTTTTACTAGCATAATTCTTCTATTTCTGAATGTAACATATTTATTTATGAAGAAATATTTTGGGTTATAAATTATATTGAAACGTAAAAAAGACCACTTTCTTATTTCTTATCCAAGTTTAAATCAACGATAATATTTTTTTATATGTCATGTACATGTATATGCAATGGAAATTTAACTTACTTCAAAATCGAAATTGTATACCCCAAACCCCAAAGCATAAGAAATATCATGATTATTGCTTTCAGGGATGGTAAAATTAAGTATGTTGATTATTAAAGAGGGATGTCTTTTACGTTTATATTTATCCCGGTATCAACAATCGATAAAAACCAGGTATAGCACGTATCTCACCGTACTGTTGACTTGTCAAACTAAAATATGATTCATTAATGGCTACAGCTGTTAAATGAGGTTCACCAAAAATAGGAGAAATTCTGCAGATATTGAACACGTTGTGTAAATCAGTTACTTAATGTTTTCACCATTTTATGTCTCTTTATACGAACAACACCTAGGAATACATTTTAATTGTATAAAAAAATGTTCTTCGTGATAGGATAGTAATAAAATGATACTGAAAGCATTTACTAGAGTGTGCTGTCTCATATTTTGAATAATAATTAGATTTGACTCTGAAATTGGAGCAATGTTCGTGAGTTTTCCTCCAAGTTAATGCAATTTAAAATCGAATTACAAATGATTTCATTTGATTTTAGATATACGCAATTTATATTTGGAGCATGATTTATTCAACATAAGACATTTAAAAAAAATTAAAATAAGACATATAAAACATTAAAATACTTGCATAATAACTGCCCTTAACTTTTTATTCTTAAATGTAATGGAGATAATTTCTCTCACGTATCATCTTGAAATGTGGATACTCAATTTAAGAAAAAGACATCTGAACACGTACATACATGCACATCCAACCCCAGTCCAGTCTGACCTTAATACAACATGCAAAAGATAACAGGTTGTGTAAAGTTGTACAATTGGAAATAACTATAACATTTATGAGCAAAAAAAAAAAAGCCTGCATATAGATTATTTTATGAGTCATAAAATTAAATACTTTTATTACGCATTATTTTTATATGATCTGTTTACATTCTGGTTAACTAAACTGAAATCAGTTTATTAAATGAACATATTTTACGAAGATTAAATGCCTTTAAGCCCTTTTATCGGTTTATTGGAAGTTTGAGGAGTTATATTAAAAATACATACGATGTCTTTTTAAGAAGTAAATTAAACAAAGTACGATAAATCATTTAAGAAAAATAAGAATTTAACACACATGAGTATTCAAGCATACAAAAGGCATTGCTGCAAACGAACTTCTTTATGAAAGACTAAAGAAGCTTATCCCCCCATATCACTGATCTTTAGACATTATAAACAAAAGCTAAAATGATATATCCCTTCCGCGTTTGCGCTGAAATTAAAATGAAATACTCATTGACCAAAAAAAATTATTTTACACTGCATTGTTACAGTTGTTTTTCCTTTTAAATTCGAATTTATTTTTTTTTTCAGCGTTTGTCATATCAACAGCACTTGCTTCAAGTAAGTATGTTCTCTAATACTGTGTTCACCGTAGATCATTTCAGTTCTATCCATTATGATCCTTTCATATGTATAAAATCTCGGGAAATGTAGCAAAATTTCAAAATAACCAGTAAATTTGAAATATCGATAAAGAATACTAGTATTCTACCCGCAATTGTCATCTAGAATGGAAAAAGCGTAACGATCATCAAAAAACAAATGCATATCAAAGCTCAGCTCAATATTTATAAAACAAAACTAAATGGGACAGACAGGCATATCCATAACACAAAAGGCTATAGTTTACTGTATTATTAAAATTTTCACTTCAAGTAATTTACTCTACAGCTCTGAAACAACAAAGTTTTTACTTAAGTGAATCAAAGTATTTTCACTTTTGATTTCAATATGTTATATTATATGCTTTAAAATCAATACATCCATGCACATTTTTAAAATATACATTGTATTTTATGGAACCTTTACTTGTTTATTTACAATGATTCAGAATGATAACTTACTGCTACGAAATTAAAAAGATTTGAAGCCATAAAATCTCTTTTTTTTTTTTTTTTTTTTTTTTTTTTTTTGACAGAGACATACAATCAGACAGACAGACAAACGGATGGACAGATGAGGAGGATACAAAAGTCCCCTCTCTAAAAAAACAATTTTCATAACAACTACGTATGTTGCATTATTTATATCACCACTACAACCCTTATTTTTTCCGAGCTAAAATTGACTAGAATTTAATTACTAGTAACATTATTTGTCACATGAAAAGACCTTTGCATTTCAATGGTTTAAAAGGCTAGTACAAAAGTCGATATTTGTATTAAACATTCATATAGGTTCTCTATGACTGAATTTCTTAATCAATATTTCAAGGAAATATTAATGGACATACATTACTGACCTCATAGACTAATAAATGCTGAAATATATAATTAATATCTTGAGAAACACAGTTGACAAAAAGTCATGCTGAAATGTAATTTCCAGCCACAGAGGCAGTGACAGAGACATCAACGGAAACAACCTCCTCAGCAGGAGCAACTTCAGCAGAAACAACTACTACCATGGAAGCTACGACCACTGCGGTATATTCTTAGCATTTCTATATTTTTGTATTGTAAATACATGTAAGTCAAAACTGCATAATGTTTTCCGTTATTTCCCGATCACGACAAGGAGCACACGGCGGGTGTGACGGTAGCCAGGGGATGCTCACTCCTTCATGGCACTGGATCCCATCTCTGATGATTTGAGGTCCGTGTTTGCTCTGCTTGTATTGTTTTGTGGACTTTTGAGCTTAAATATCGTTCTTTATCTCCATATACGAGGGGCGTTCAATAAATAATGTCATTGGGGCTCGGAAGAAACAAAAAACGCTTTTCTATGACTTAGTCTTAATGATTTAACTAAAATATTCTCTTTCAATTAAAACGCATATCCGTAACATTTTCATTCAATTTTTAACTGTTTTTCTCACACATTTTTGAGTACTCAGTATGACCCTTCGTATACTGGAATATGGCAGATCTTATCATTTGCTGTACTTGTTTTTTTTTTCTTTGTGATAGATGTTTTTCTAAGTTTAGGAAATGAAACAAGTCAAAGGTTGAAAGATCTGGCTAATTTTGTTGGTGTGACAAAACATTAACTTTCTGTTTATCCCCAAAACTCCTTTACTCTTCATGGCCTGTGGGTTTGGCCGCCGTCTTGAAGACACTTAATGTAGCATATTCCTCATTCTGTCTCTTTCCTCTCATAAACCTTTCAATTTTTTGCAAAAAAAATGTTTTCTAGACTCCTCCAGAAACTTGAACTTCCTACCCGAATATGAATTTGAAGAACAAGACCGCTAATATTTAAGAAAATAGCATATAAAACTGTTTTATGCTCCTGCAATTCTTTGCTCTTCTTAGGCCTTTGCAGTTTTGTCAAGTGCATCTTTTTGTAAATTTGTTTTGAGAGCTTAAAGCAAAATGGATTCAAGTTTCATTATCTGTTAGAATTTCATACAAACATGGATAAGTACAATTTTCGATTTTTTAAAATAATTGTTTGGATATTCCTACACGCTGTCGTTTTCACTCATTTTTCAAAATATAGGGTGACCTTTGAGAATTAGACTTTTTTACTATAAAATGTTTATTCAAAACAGTATGAACTATCCCCAAAATGATTTTTATCATTTTTGCTATGTGTCTTAAAGTCAATAAAACATAATCAGTGAAAATTTGTTGAAATTTCGCAAATTTACATCGGTTGTTGTAAGTCATTGTTGCCAAGGACGGTACCCATTTTAATGCCCATTATATAATTTTTGTTTATTGAAATCTACATGTTCACCTGTCTATAAAACAGGCATTGGTTGCTGTAACTTTCACATATTTCAGTTAATGTATTTTTGGGATATTAACAAGTTTTACAGCTGCTTTAATGAAGCGTTTAATTTTACTCTAGTTTACTGATTCTTGACGATCCATTCATTTTTAATGCAGTGTCTCGAATAGCTCTTGTTTTCCAGCTTCCCATGATGACATAATACGATGAAAAGTGGCCACACAAACTGTTATCAATTCATTAAAGATTCAATAATGAGAGAAAGTCAAGCTTTATGTCATATGACTACTTTTTGTATGCCATCGAGCTAATGACATTATTTATTGAACGTCCCTCGTATTTCATCTTAAAATTCTATTGTTGAATATAAAGCAAGGAAGATGAATTTTGATATGCACAATTATTTTTCAATGTCAATGTTTCATAAGAACAAAAACAAAAAATTGATTTTTATTATAGACAAGAAATATTTCCTGTCATGAGTATACCTGCAAGTACGATGGTTGCATACAAAACGCAACTGTTCACAATGCAACGGCCACTTGCTACACACCTGGTTACTGTTTTGTAAGTATGTAAATTATTCAAAACGCACAAAAAGGGAGAAAATAAAAGAAAACTAGGTATATCTGATAAAGCGTTGCTTTCATCCACACAAATGAACACAAGTATGTAGATTTGATAAGGAAAAAATCAAAACTTATTAAACGATAAATCTTATGTTACAGTATTCATCTTTTTGATAAATATAGAATATACAAAAAATATTAATTCACAAAAAAGGAGTTTCGTTTATATTTACCTAAGTATAATATAACTTCATAGATCCTGTCTAGGGGGTGAGGAATGTTTTAAAGAGGCACCCTAGCTCATCATACCTTTGCACTTAGTTCACAGGGATCACGGAATTCAGAATTCTGGAAAAGGCAGTCTTGCTCATTAAGACTATGCATTCAGTTTGTTTGCTAAATACTCAGAAACAGATGATGATTTTTAATGAAGACCATTTTCACTATATATTCAACAAATCTCCGCTCTAACACCACTGTACTTAATCGTGGGGATCAGGTGTTAGGGCGGGGCTACATTGATTACATAGTGAAAATGCATTATTTCTTTGAAAATCTTCTCTGCTCCTGGGTATTAAATAAACTAAGTACATGTACATAGTTCTGATGAGCAAGAGTTCCTCTACAAGAATTGTGAATTTTATGGCCCCAGGATCAGGGGTTCTGGTGTTAGGGTGGGGCTTTATTGATTATATAGTGAAAATGCATTAATTCTTTGAAAATCTTCTCTGCTTCTGGGTAATAAATAAACTAACCAAGTACATAGTTGTGATGAGCAAGAGTGCCTCTACGAAAATTGTGAATTTTATGGCCCCAGGGTCAGGGGTTCTGGTGTTAGGGTGGGGCTCTATTGATTATATAGTGAAAATGCATTATTTCTTTTCTTCTCTCTTCCTAAGTATTAAATAAACTAATTAAGTACATAGTTATGATGAGCAAGAGCACCTCTACCAAAATTGTGAATTTTATGGCCTCAGGATCAGGGGATATGGTGTTAGGGCTTGGCTCTATAATGCTTATATTAAGTGAAAATACATTACATCTATGAAAATCTTTTTCTCTTCTCCTGGGTAATAAGCAGATGAACTACCTATATAGTTATGATGTGCAAGGACTCTTCTTCCAAAATTGTTAATTTCAAGGGCTCTGGGTCAGAGATACCAAAGAGGGGGGGCTCTACTTATATGCTGAAAATGAATTGTTTGAAATCTGCTCCTTGGCATTAATCAAACAATTTTGATAAGCAAGGGTGTCTTTTCAAAAATTGAGCAATGTGTAGACCTAGGGTCAGGGGTTCAGGTGTGGTAGGGGCACTTCTGATGATTGCTGAATATTACTGATTAGTTGAAATGCATTTTTTGTTCCCCTACCCTGCTCATGGGTATAAAGTAAACGAACTAAACAATTGTTAAGTGTTATGATTAGCAATGGTGCCTCTTTCAAAATTGTGAATGCCATAGCATCTAGCTTTAAACACGAACCAAATTCAATCATTTGAAAGTTGTTGCATGATGCTCAGGTGACCTATCAGGATCATGGGCCTCATAATTTTTTTGCTTTTTAAGAGTAAATGAAAATATTTTTAAGGAATGCTTTATTTTTATGGTTTCAGCCCAATCCGTCAGGTCCCAGGAAGGACAGGGATCTTGAATTTTTGTTTCTCTCTACCCATGGAATGTTTACGACCGACTCTCGACAAAAACAAATAACTTGTCTCCCGAGTCAATCGGGTGAACTAGAAACCCCCCCCCCCTCCCCGTACTGAAATCCACGAGAGGGAGGGGAGAAGACTTGTGCAGATAGCATCCCCATTATGAAAATGAAAACTCTCTGTATACATTTTATTTCAATCAATTATTAAAATGAGAGAGAATGACAGATAAGCTGAATTTTCACAACACCATGTAAAGTCAGCATTTTTGCCCCCCGCTAGAAAAGGTGGGGGATATTAATTTGGGTCTGTCCGTCCGTCCGTCTGTCTGTCCGTCTTTCTGTCTGTCTGTAACGCTTTCGTTTCCACACGATATCTCGAGAACCCTTTGAGCTTTCGAATTGAAATTTTGCATAGCAACTCCTAACGGACTAAAGAAGAACCCTATTGATTCTGAGGTCAAAAGGTCAAAGGTCAAGGTCATAAATTCGCATATTCTGTCTGACATAACAGCGTCGAGAACCCAGCGTTTGCAATGAAATTTTACATAACAACTCCCTGTCTATTGATTTTGAGGTCAAAATGTCAAAGTTTTATATATTCTGTCTGTTTCTTGCACCATTGTTTCCGGGCGATATTTCAAGAAGATTCTGAGCTTTTTCAATGTACATGTAATTTTATACCAAAACTCCCTTGGACCTCTTTCAACCCTCTCAAAGTGTCCCGCCCCGTTTCTTGTCCCCCGCTTGAAAAGTGGGGGATATTAATTTGGGTCTGTCCGTCCGTCTCTCTGTCTGTCTGTAACGCTTTCCTTTCCACACGATATCTCGAGAACTCTTTGAGCTTTCCCAATGAAATTTTGCATATCAACTCCCTATGGACTAAAGAAGAACCCAATTGAATTTGGGGTCAAAAGGTCAAAGGTTATTTGCTTCAGTATACATTTAATAATTCTACAAATTCAGTCAGGGAGATCCCCCCCTCCCCCCGAACTGCGCATGGTTTACTTTTTCCCTAAGCGGGGGACACAAATTTTCTGAATTAACTTGTTGTTCGTTATAATTTCCTTGATGCAGCAATGTTACATATCTCTACATCGTTTTTTGAGTTTTTAGTACTAATTGTTTTCTATGATTTGAATATATTAAATACGAAAAATCTGTCTACATAATCTGTACGTAAGACTCCTGTCTGGCAAGCCCGTTAGACAGGAAATGCTTGTACTCTTCCTGGCATTTAATCATAAATCCGGTATTGTTGTGGATCTGTGCTGTGTACCTTTTGTGAACATTTCTACTGTCACTGTTTGGGAGATTTTTTTGACATCGGTCACTATTCTTTACAAACACCTTTTCTCATTAGCAAAATCTTCCACATTGTATAAAATCTATAATAATTTTATAGATGATTGATAAGTATTATTTTCCTCACTTGTTTCAGGGGAGATTAACGTATAATTCCACATACTGGAAGGAGGAACTTGGCTGTGAAACTACTACAAGCGGCTGCTTAACAACTGCTCATAATAATAACGGTGGACGGAGAATATGTTGTACCAGTCACGGATGTAACTCTATTGATGGCTTAAAGCTGCAATCTACGTCACCGGGTCTCTCCTACTCTTTAGGGGTCGTTTTGTCCTGCCTTCTTTTGTGTTTAGCCAGATTTTAGGTCCTTTCTTTGATACATCGATTTAACACTGACATTTTTCTCTCAAACTATTATCCAGTGAATCTTTGTTAACTAAATAAAATTTATGTGTAAATATTATTATACCGTAAATCTGGAAATTGATACGTCGATTTTATTTTGCGAATTCGGGTCAAAATGCTGTTGATTAATTTTTACGTTTCAAAATTTTGCGAATGACCATTGCTTTGTTTACATTTTTATTGGCGATTTATTTCTAAGAAGAATATTTTTGCGAATGCAATGCATTCGCAAAGCTAAAAAATTATCTACAGCAAAATTTTCCAGATTTACGGTAAGTATTTAATGAAAAGCATACAGTAAACTACCCCTTGAATACCGAACTCAAATTGTAAATACAAATGTACTGATGATCTATTTATTTATTTAAACTTTTATTAATATTTGTATTATTCGTGTATTTATTTGATTTTCGCAGATAAAATTATGTGTATAAAGGATGAAATGTATATTTTGTATTGGGTACGATTGACTTTGCTTTGAAATCCAATACAAGTAAAGAAAAAAAAAGAATACTTTCCATTGGTAACATCTTTTATGTACATATCTCAAGCGGAAAGTAATTTAGAACATTTTTGTTATATTTTGTCAAATTTGATCTTTTTCTTTTAAGGTTTTTGCGAAATCTGTTTGTAATCAATAATATTTTATTTATTATTACAATATTTAAAGATTCCCGATCTGTTTGATGAAGTGTGTACGTTTGTGTCGCACTGAAAATGTATGACGGAGTCTTAGGAGCGTGTAATTATGTATTAAATAAAGTACGTCATTGTCACACTGGAAATATATGACGCAATCAAATACATCTAGTACATATGTTTGATTATGAATTAGTTAGCACATCAAAATCAATAAAGTATGTTTAAATCAAAATATGTGTCCCAGAGACAAAGTTTTATATACATGTATATGGATTTCTGAATATTATTTTCAGAAATTTATGTAACAAACTGTATTTTAATTAGAGTTTTTGTATAGAATTGTGCAACGATATGAATAATTTTTTTTTGCTATTTGAAGTACTCAGATATATTCAATGTGAAAGAAAGCTGTCTGATGAAATATTTTAAATTTGTTACGGAAATTCAAATGCATTTATTAACTGTTCGATATTCTCCTTTTCATTTATCAACTTTCACATTTTTGTAAATAACTTTCCCCCCAAAATACATGGATTTTATTTTCGTTAAAAATCCAAAAGATTATGTACAAATTAAAGTTACATTTGTAAGAAAAAATTGATTACGTATAATATTTTTTTTCTTTAAAAGATACGCTGAATAAAATTCATCAAAGCACTTTTAATGTAATTACTTTTGGAAATAAATTTTGCATTTGTAAGTTATGTTGTTTTAATTCAATTAATTTCAAAAGTTGATATTTATTTCCTTGAGGGTATTGATGATGAGACTGAATGAGACCAAATCATATCAAATAGAAAAAGGGACTCCAACGTTACACATGTATGTTCATTAAAACTAAATTGATATGAACAATACTTGTAGCTATGAAATATATGTACATGTAAACATAATGTGCTTTGATATTCTTTTGAGAAAAAATATATCATTTAAGCATTTTTAAGATATTTAAAAATGAATTTCAAATTATAAAAGGGAAAAATGAAAACTCTGTAAATGAGTAGATTCCGACACATTTTGCTTCTGTCAAGAAATATTTGCTATGAAATACGGAAATAATGAAACGTAATAATCATGCTTTAAGCTCTAGGACGATATAGTTGAGGGCAGAGCAAGCACATTAAAAAGATGAAAATATCGAGCAAGGATCCAACTTATAAAAATATATAAACAATATAAATCAATGAGAGCATGGGATATACATGTATACTCCCGGAAATGCCAGAGGCTGGATATAACGTGCATCTGAGGTTCGATAAGGAGGAATGAAGAGCGAGCATCGTCTGTCGAATGTCACGTGCCCTTTGACACGTCCTTAGGCAATTCAGAATGAAAAGACTTCAAACGAATGCTTGAAATGTGTCAGGCAACAGTCGGCCCTTCGACATATTGTATTTGCAAATACTAAAAAAGGGTCACAATCGACTTGGAAAATGGAACTTGAAAAATTTTTCAAACGGGAGTTGATACCTTTATATAAACAACCTACTTTCTCGGTTTTCTTATTAGTTTAAGATAACCTTTTGACGAAGAACATGATCTTGCAAACGCCAAAATCATATGCAGATGATGTTACGATTATGTTATTCAAGTGTCATATAACTTTTTAAAACTTATAAGGTTTTTGTTTCTTAACATTGGAGTGGGAACAGCAAAAATCTTTTTGCATTATTTTCTCCGATACAAGAGGGTTTTTCTTTACCTCTTTGCCATGGCGATATATTGTCCTGCTTAAAATATTATTTGATTTGATTCATTTTTCTTGGAAATGAAAATATATTTTCTTTTATACAAGAAATAATACACCAAACCAGGTGAAATAAGTGCAAATGATATAATGCATCATTTTAAGCCCCTGAAATAAAAAATCAAATAAAGGAATATAAATCTCAAATAATGCTGGAATTCAAATTATGTTCATTGTCATGTTTGTTTGTTTTTATATTGTTTAAAGCAAAATGAGCTGCATTTTTGAAAATTTTGTTTTGCTGTTAGAACGTGTTATTATGATAAATGTGTATGTAACTTAAACCTTTATGATCAATTAGACTAAAATAAAGCAAAGCAAGAAAGACTTCTATATACAATCCAATATACAGTTTTATATAAGAAATCATTGTTGTATAGGACGACAATAATGTAATTTTGATTCAAACGAAGGCACCACTTGCAGGTTGAGAGTTGCAAATTTTGTCCTATACTCGGCACTCATTGCCTTTTAGCATGGAGGAATCTTTATCGTGTCAGCACCTACTGCGACACGGGACCTCGGTTAAAACGGTCTCATCCAAAGGACCGGTCTCCACGTCCCACAGCGGGATTCGAACCCGCGATGTAAGGATCAACTCCTTACTTCGCGAATCTGGAGCAAGCGCTCTATAACCATTGCGCCACGCAGGCGACTCTCGATTGTCATGAAAATTCAAGTTAATGTTATTGTTGTTCATTTGAAATTCTAGGTATCATGTTTAAGCTACTTTGACATTAGAGGACGCTGGCGTCCCTGTCGATATGTAGTCTTTGAAGATCAATTCTTCCAAAAAATAAATGAAAGAATTCCCATTGACATTAATTGCGCTCTCTAACTATCTGACCTGTTTTATATTTATATGATGCAGAATTATTTAAAAAAAACATTTACATGAGAAGAAGAAACATTTGCAGAGGCTATCAACTCAACATTCAGATATACTGATGATGCTGTATCCATGAACAATAGATATTCTCATTCAAATGTTGACTCCAAGAACTTAATAATATAAAATCACTGCACAATCTGTCACATCTACTTCCTCTTTGGACGTTTAACCGACGATAGTCGAGAAAGGCCAACTAAAAACTAAACTGTATGACAAGCGGGATAACTGCAACAGTTTTACTTATTTATGTAGTAATATTCCTCTAACAACTGCATAGTGTGTTAATATCTCCCAAACCAACTAATTCCCTCCTCAAGAGCATGCTCTGAGTACAATAATTTATAAACAGAGATAGGCTAATTACACATAAGCTTACGTGACTTAATTGAATTTCAACATACATCTTACAAGTCAGCATTACAGAAGATCAGAGTTTGTTATAATGAATTTATTTAAGAAACTCAGTTTGAGTTTGCCAAGGCATCAACGACAGTTCGAAACGTAGGATAATAAGAATAACGGAGGAAACATAAAAAGCACGAGAAATACATAAATTAGTTGGTATTTTATGACAAAAGAATTACAAACATACTTATTAAATATATTTACACAATGAAATGTAAAATTTATGTAAATCTATTTAGAAATCATTTTTAAGTTACTACAAGAGGACTACAATATTCAAACAATAATATAGCAGAAGCTATAAATGGATAACTTGTTCTGATGTGCGAGAATTCAATATTAATTTCAAGATTGATCAACCTCATGAATCATAGCATAAAATGCAATGAAATATCACAAACATGACTGTGTGATGAAATAATAAATTATGCCTTTGAATTTTCAGATTTTTAAAAAAATATGCAGTATAAAAATAAACAAGTATCTTGATTGTTCACAGTTAATAGTACATTATGCAATTACTTCTCTAATTTTTCAATCAATCAATCCGTCAAACATCTGTGGCCTCAACTATCTCGTATCCCTCATTAACCTTCCCCTCTATAACGTCTAAGCCGCCACCCTTTGATCCGCCATTCCCATTTTCTGATGCCAATTTGTCGTGTTGCTGCAGTGCTTGTTTTAACAGCGCCATGTCGTCCTCGTTACCGATCGGAACTCCTCCGTCCTCCCCGTACATCTCTAGAACTGCCTCCTTTTCTTCCACGGGGTCTTGGTTGAGATAGTAGTTACCTTTGTCGTATTCTACTTCATTGAAGTCTAGAGATTCTTCACTAAAATAGTATATTAAAGAGACAATTGTGGTAAAAAAGGAAGAGGCAAAGCCCATTTTAAAGTTTTTTTTAGAATTTGATTTATCGAAAGGAAAATTTATTTATTGTTGATAAACCACAGACTTTTCACCAAGTATATAGTTCAACGATTATTTGACGGTTATCCAGCTACTTCTTTAAACTTTAAAATTTTTTTAAAAGTATTTATGTCATTTAAAATTAATTGTTACCTTCCCGCCAAGCTAACGTTATCTTGGTTACCAATTGTTCTTTGTATCTCCTCTTCTTTATCGATTAAAGGGTTTTTACTATAATGTAAAGAGTCGTCGAATAATAAAATAGTTTAAATGAGAGAGAGAGAGAGGACGGGGAGGTTATGTCAAAAATAAGTTCCTGATCATGAAATCAAAGAATAAAATAATAAAAATGATAAATCTGTAATGCTTTACTAAGCATGATCCAAAAAATTTTCAATTTATCTATATATGCCAATTAACAATCATTTCATTGCCAAGTAAAAACAATCAATACTCGCTTTTTCGAGAACATGTTACTGCCTGGAATAACAGCATCACCCAAAATTTGACCATTTTTCTTCTCTTCAAAGAAAATGATTGAATGATAACAGAAAGTATACAATAATCATATGAGAAATAAATATTGCCAACTTTGAATTGCAAAGGCATATTTACCCGTGGAGGATATAGTGGCAGCTTTCAACTTTCTTTTAGATCTAAAACAAAGATGGTTAGTCCTTTATACAACTCTCATTTAAAAGAAATATGTATCATTTATAATCCTTTTGTAAGCAAAAAAAAATTGACCATATTTATATTGGTAGTATTATGCTTCAAAAACTCACTTTGATATCGATGTAATATAGAAGTAAATGACAATGGCTAGTATTAATGTAAGAAGAACAATAACTGCCACCAGTATATACGTCTCCTTGATTTTACTGCCCGTGTCTTTCACATCAGTTATCTGTAACGCCTATAAGGTAATAAACATTAAATTTAACATCACAAGACCATTTTGTCTTTTTATGAAATAAAATGTTTATTTGAAAAGTATTCGAAATTCTTCATGTAAATATGCTTCATCTGAATGGAAAAAAATTCTTACACCAATGGCAGCCACTCCATAATGGTTTCGGAAATCTTTTAGATCGTCCCCATACTGATCTAGAACGCTAAAATTGTGTTTTGTTGTTAAATACAATAGAAAGTGTCTGACTGCATATTTCAGATATAACATCCTCTAACTAAATAGTTAATAGTCATAATCTCTCAAAATTCATTTTTCGGTTTAAATTTGATACATAAACATTGTACTATATAGGAATTATCCATCTAGCTGAAAACGGCATTTAAATAAGTTGAATATTTAAAGAAAGCTAATCAGTAATCCATATCAGATGGGAAGTTAGTGGGTTTACACACCCCTGTACAAAGATTGCATCCAGCACTATTCTTTCCTTTTCGTCTATGACGTGGAAGGTTAACAGCGATCTTATAAATCATAAAATGAAATAAAATTAATCATAGGTAAATAACAAAGATATATTGTATCGACTGTAACTAAAGAAAAAAAATAAATTACTTACTCAAATTCAATAATATTCCCTTCTTCGTCTTGATATGGATTAATTCCATCAAACACACATTTGTAGCCGATTTTAGCTGACAAATTCCTAAAATGACAGTTTAAAATGTCGAATGTCTATTTTAAACCTATCTACATTATTTACAAGGTAAAATTCTGTTTAAAAATAATGTGTTTACAATATTTATTTACCTACCTTAATACATATTCTTGTACCTTATTAACGTCATTTTTCGGTCTTCGAAAATGCATCGAAAGTTGTTGTGATTCATCGATGATATAAATCTTCAAAACACACCAAAAAATGTATATTCTACACAGAATATATTTTTAAATAACCCGAATTTATTAGTTTAATCTAAAGAAAAAAAAAAAAAATTGGAAGCAAGAGTAGGTATTTTTATTCAAATCTTTCAAAAGACATTTCTTTGTGCATTTATATGTGTTTGAAGTACTAGTACTTACATCTAACGTTGTTTCACTGGATCCAGCGGTATCATTGACGCTGATTCCTACTTCCATACTTCCTTTTCCGGTAAATAAGAAATTAGAAAGAACTGTACCGTTTTCAGTCACACAGAATGCCTTTTTACATCCTGTGGTTATGACGCTAGGAATATCTTTCAATCCGTGGTTTGTTATATTCAACATGTAGAATTTATGTCGCCTGTGTTTTTCAGTAACATCTTGATCAGTTACGAATTCCTTTAAAAAATAAAATAGCATATAACATAGATAAATCGATGAATTAAACTTAATCTTAACTTTATTCTGATAATACAAGGGGTGATCAAAAAGTTCGCGAACTATCTCTATATCTACAAAACCACAATTTAGATTAGAAAAAAAATTGGTACACATATAGCCATACACAAGCTCTATAAATAGCATATGATGAATATATTTTTGTTTTTTTGACGTCACAATGTGAAAATGACGTAACTATGTAGGTCACTTGTGACGAAAAAAGGTTCTCTCAGTCGTTCTCGTTCAACAAACGACTGTACAATTTATTGTATACCTTAGAAATGCCTTTGCAGAAGCATATAATAATTTTTACACAGTTTATTAAGACAAATGACTTCATATAAGTTTAATTAATGATTGGATTGATCGTTTTAGTAAAGGAAGGCAGATGGTTAAGATTTTTTTTATTAATAAATCAATCAAATACACGAATATTCAGCTCCTGAATTTACTAAAGTATAAGAGACCGAGAGAGGGAATCTAGTAAGAGAAAAAACTTAGCATACATGTATTTTATTTCTGACTTCTTTAACAAGAAATGAATGCACATGTATTTAAAGGGGAATGGTGCATCGCCAACTAGAGCACGGTTAAGCGGAGCATCCCTTCGCGGAAGGAATTTCACCGTAATGGCAATGTCTCCATATGCTAGAAAAATTCTCAAGAGGAATGTTTAGTAATACAAAATCATCTACTAGGGGATTTTAAAAAAATAGTATCGTGGCTATATAAGACAACAACGATATTAATATCTTAATTACTCTTACTTTCATGTCCAATACCGCTGTGTTATACGGGGAGTTTCGTAGAATTCCAGCAGACAATGATTTAGCTGTGAATACTGGTGGGTTATCATTCATGTCAGTTACGTTAACAATCAGCTCAGCTGAAACTTAAGAGGTCATTATTTGAAGGTATTATATGAAACAATTTTTTTTATTAAATGCTACTGAATAAGCGTTTTCTGAAAATAAAACTTTTTGCATTTTTTGGTTGTGGTTTGCCTGCAAATAAAAATGATTTTTTTTCCTTCGTTGTTCTGTTCTTCAAATAGAAATTTAAAAATTTTCTAGAAAGCCTCTTAGACTTTTTTGTCCAACTCTAAGAATATGAGTAGAAAGAACCTCAATTTAATTTTTCTATCTAAAAAATACTTTTTGATCTAAAGTGTAAAATTCGAAATCCTTGTACGTTGCAAGTTCAATTTCTTGTAATTTTCCAAGCAAAATTGCAAAAGATTTGAGTTATTTGTCTGTAAAACTAACAATACCTTTGGCTTTGTCGGAGTAGTTTATATGTGTTTTTGTGTCTGTTACAACAATACTCAATACAAAGGACAACTCCTTCTCGGCATCAATATAATTTCTAGCACTTATTTCTCCTGTTGCGTTGTTGATCGTGAAATAATCCTAAAAGAAAATATGGAAGAGTAAAAAGAGAACATTTGCATTCTTAATTTGTTTGATATCTTATTTCTTTGATTATAGTGTTTCTCTTTTTAGAAATCATAACATTCTTGACTGCAGTTTCATTAGGTATTTGTAAAAAAAATATCTTTCAATCATAAATTGAAATGTCTTTTCCAGCTAAAATTGAAAAGGAAAGCAGTATTGAAATATCTATTAAGTACAGCTTTGATTTTTAGTTACTTTTTTTCACAACTACATTGTATATATAAAAAAATAAAGAGTAGGTCACCTTTACCTTAGAAGCGTTAAATTTCTGACCGAGGTAGTCATAAGCTTCTTTAATTTGAATTGAGTAGGAAAGCAATGAATCAATGTCTTTATCGGAGCTATTGCATCTGAATATTATTTTGCTTTCCGCATTTTCTACAAGTTCTTCTCTGGCGGGAAGATTCAGAAGTTCAGGAGGCGTGTCATTTACGTCATCAATAATCAGGGTAACGTTTGTAGTTCCTGTTAACTGAGGATTTCCTTTATCAATGGCAATAATTGTTAGATTATAACTAGATACACTCTCCCTGTCTAGTTTTGCACCAACTTGAACTGATAGATTCCCTGAATTGCCATCCATCTTAAATTGATCAGAGCCTCCCAGGAAAATGAAATAGGACACTTCATTGTTTGGGGCCGTCCCGTCTCCATCTTCAGCTGATACACTTAATATATATGTCCCTGAGAGAGACACAAACGTTTAAAGTAAAAACATTTAAATTTACAGATTTATTTATTGATCATTAAAACCCCATATGAAAAAGTTATTTGGACGATATTTTTTTGTAAGGAAAATGATAATATCATATAATGTGTAGAATGATAATATCAATGAAATATGTCTATATTGTTCCTGAACAAACTTGCGCTCTATAAATTTTAAAGCTAAAATTGTTGAAATTTTGTCCATTTTGTCCTCTTTCTGAAAAAGGATATTCCTTTGAACTTAACAAAAATTGTGAATACACTGCTTTGAACTAAAACACACAAAATCAAATAAATAGAAGTATATCAAAAATTGAATTTTCTGATCATTAAAAAATTATGGAAAATATTACTTATTCCTTTGAACTTATAAAAAAAAAACACACAAAATCAAATAAATAGATGTCAAAAACTGAATTCTCTGAAATTTTGGTAGCAAAAAAGAGATACCAGAGGGAGAATTTTCTTTAACCCTTCCTTCAAAGTTTCCACTGAAAGTTGGATTATGGTCATTCACATCCTACAAAAAATACACCGCTTATGTGCGTCTTAAACGATTTTTAATTCGTAAATCAATTGAAAATATTGAATGTAGGTAAATGTTAAACAAAGCGAGCATTGTTGTCATTTTGCACAAAGCTTATTTCTCTAAACTTGATAAAGTTAAAACAAAATATCTCAGAAATCTAGGCAAAAAAGGGAGAGAAAAAACTTACCTGTACAATAATCGTTACACCTACTGTGGAATTCATAGATTGAATACCATGATCATAAGCCATGACCTTCAAATTATGTTCCCTATAGTCTGAGTCAGATAACTTAGTTAAATTTTCAAAATCAAGTTGCTTCGTTATTGTAATGGTTCCATTCTTGTCTATTTTGAAGTATTCATCATTAGCACAATGCTTTCCTTCATCGGAAAAGCAGTAAGATACGCGACTATTATTAGTGCCCAATTTATCTCCATCTATTGCCTAAAATAAAAATTTAAGAAGGCCTAAGGAGACTTAACAAGATACCGCTGATGTAAATTAGTCACAAATTATAAGGGATGACCATCTAAAATTCACAATGCAAATATCAAGAAAAGAACATGCATATTTACACATATAACTTACTGTAAGAATCGTATAATTCTTCCCAGAAGAAAATTCATTAGATTTTTCTTTTATACTAAACTCATACGATTCGTCACGAAATTCAGGAGAATTGTCATTTTCGTCCATTAGGCGAATGACAACAGAGACAGGTGTTCGTCTGCCTCCTCCATCCTGAGCCTCCATTGTCAGGTAATACTTCGAGATTCTCTCTCTGTCCAATAGGCTCTCTTCACATTGTATATCTATGCATCTGCAACTTTCGTTGGATGCCACGTAGATCTGACCACTTTTAGTATCTATTCCAAACCTAGGATAATATAGAAAATTTATTGCAACATATGTTTTCAAACTGTTCATTCTTTATGAAATTGGAACAATACTCAGTAACATGTCTACATATTAGTCTTATACTGTAATCTTGAAATTAATTTACTTTTTCAACACTAACCCAAGTACTTAAATCGTATATATCCACTGCCAAGTTCAAACTTGGAAACGATTAACATTATTTCAGGGATAATATAATGATTAAATTCATAAGATTTAAAACTTTCTTTATGGCAGCAGTTATAATAGCAATTTTACCCATTGTCTGCACCATTAATGCTGTATGAAATGTTTCCAAAGTCATCAGAATCAGCGTCAGAAGCCTACAGTACAAAAAATTCTTTTGAAGACAAAAATTCAAAGTTTATTGTGATTCGAACACAGTGTACTTTGATTTAAATTAAATAGTACTAACTAAGAAAATTCAAAATTTAATTATTTTTATATACATTTATTTTTCCGACTGGTGTGCCGTTACAACTGTTTTCAGACACGTCAAATTCATATGTGTTGTTTTCAAAAACTGGATCATTATCATTTGCGTCCTTGATTCTTATTGTGATGTTACTGGTGCTAAAAAGAGACGAGTTCTGTTTGTCTGTCGCATTCACCTAAAGTAAAATCAAACTTTGTAAAAAAAAAAAATAATAATAATAAATAGAATTAATACGAAGTACTTTTGTTTGTTTTTAGGAATTAGAATAAGATATCCAATTGTTTTTTTTTACTTAAGATATACATGTACATATAATCAATGCATTTGTATAACATAATGGGTTTTCTTTTTAAATGTCCTGAAATTTGACAATTTTATCAGATATATATACACCGTTATTGATTTATCTTTTTTCACAATAAATCGAATTTTTTCAATAATTCCGAATTTTCTTTAAAAAGTAACAGCTAAAATTAAATACAAAAATACCACAAGCTGAACACTCTTTTCTTCTTCAAAATCAAAAGCTTGGTTTACACGGAGAAGAACAATTCCTTTCCCTATAATCTCTACAGGCGACGCTACAACTCTCTGCTGCTCCGTCATATTGGAGTGTAACACTGACAATTTTATTGTGTTGTAACCATTCTAAATAAAAATAATTGAATATTTAGAAAAAAAATTAAATATAAATATTAAAAAATTCATACTAAATATTTTTTTCAGTTATGCTGTTAAATAGTTGGATTTATTTTTTGACAAAAAAGTTTTTTATGTGAAAATGTATGCTCAAAATACTCAGGTACAAACTTGATTTTATTTGTCTCTTAACTATTGATGTTGATGTATATAATTTTAGTTACTTTTGTACATGTTTTTATATTGCGCTTTTTTGATCCATTGTCATTTATTGCATATTTCAATAAATGACCTTTATTATTCTTTTACGAGGAGTTGTGTTCTTTTTGGTGTGGATGGTAAGGCAAGCAGACATAAATACTGTTATTGTAATGAAAATGTATTCGCTAGTTACATGTATTTTCCATATGACAGGCGATAATTGAAAAAAAATCTAATAAACTTTAAGCTAAATGGGATGTTCGCGATATTCATGTTCGAGTTTTATAATTTTAATTTACTATTTTACACCTATGGTGACAGGTTTACTGACTAAATGCTAATTGTTTAGACTAGAAAGTTAGGAGATAACTCTGTAAGTGTTTTTGTATTTTTTTTTAGAATAGGATTTCGTTTAACTCTAAATGGTGACAAAGGAAAACATATTGCTTTGTTTTTAACAATGAAAATTACACAAACCTGGTCAATATCTTCTACTTGAATGTTCTCACTGAATGTGATAGAAATTCCAGTCGTATTCTCCACTACAAACCCTTCATATGTTTGATTAGAGAAAGTTGGTGGGTTATCATTAACGTCCACAATAGTAAGGGTGAGGTCAGTGATGGACTGGGTCTCGTTAGATTTCTTGGTTCCAGTTTCATAGGCCTGTAAACAACATAAAGAAATAGCAGGTTTAAGATGCCTTTTCTTAAAAAAAATTGATATATGTGATCAATCCTTTATTAATTCTTAAAAAAATATGGAAGCCATTTTGTGTAGAACCTCTCCACATATACTTTCTTTTTAGCTGTTTAAAGGGACATGGAAACAGTTTCAACTGATTTGCATACAATTCCTAATTAGGGCAATTCAAACGATCAGCAAAAATTTGAACATCATTTGTTAATTTACCAAGAAGATGCAAAACTTAAAATTCTTCATATTGTAAACAAGGCTCGTGCCTTGTTTTTGTTTACATATAGAAAATATCATATTTATATTAAAACGAGATTCAATTAATCACTAGAAACTATCAAATGGCATTTAGAAGAATTAATTCTTTATTGAAAAATCAACTTAGAACGAACATACTAATGAATATTAGTGTACCATGTAAACAAAAACATGACACAAGCCTTGTTTAGATAACAAACGTTTGGAGCTCTAAATCCCTCCTGTATCTCAACAACTTGAATTCAAACTTTTGATTATAATCAAAATCTAGTATTTGCAAACATAAAAAGCGGAAAAAAATTATTTGAAAATTTTCAGCTTAAACTGTGTTTAAGTTCCTGTAAAATATACATAGCATATGCAGTATTTTTTTTCAAAGGTCATTGATCGTTTAAGAAACAAACTACTTACTTCTACTTTAATGGAACAGACTCCTCCCACTTGATGGATCTCCCCACTGTCTCTATCTAACTCCTTTATTACTCCAATTTCACCAGTTGTTTCATTGATACTGAGATAGCTGGCACAAGAATCTTTAAAATTTCAAATATAAAACATTCAATTAACATTTTTCAAAAGTAAAATATTAATTATCGGATTTTGAATCTTTGTTCTATTTTATACCATTTATAAGTCCGTATTTGACCTCCCTTGGTATGCCTAGGTCCCCATCTACCGCTTTCACGGTAAATATTGCCTGGAAAAATCACAAAAATAAAAATAATTTATCAAAATTAAATAATCTGTACAAAATGTAAGTCTTTGTGGTTTTGAAGTTTACTTTTTGCAAGAAATAACTGTAAATCTACAATAGTAAACACATAATGACCGTACCCCATTGACATTTTCGCTGACACTTTTGATGTATGGCAGTCTAAGGAATACCGGTGGCTTGTCCTGCACGTCCTGTACCTTCACTAGAAGTTCTGCAGTACTGTTGTGAGTCCCATCCTTTAAAAAAAAAACAGTCTTTAATGGTCTTAAGTCTTAATCTCAAATCTCATATATCAAATGTCTTCAGACCGAAGTGCTTTCTTAGTACATTTTTTAAATAACAAAAAACACTGAATGAGTAAAGTATGTGAATTTTTTTTTAATTTACCGTAGCGACTACTTCGTATTGTAAAAAGGTTAAGGTTTCATAGTCCAGTTCTTTCTTCAGCACTAAGTATGCTCCAGCAAATTCTGTGCATATGTTAAAATATCCTTTGTACAATTCCTCTGCCTTTAAAATAGATACAACAAATTAGATTAAATAAATTAGATCAGTGTCTGATGACCGAGAAAAAACCCTTTGTAAAAAATATAAAAATTGTTTAATGCATCATACTAACCTGACCTGTTGCCTAAAAATAAAAAAATATAAAATTATTTAAGTTAACTTTGAATTGATTATAACACGGTTTTTAAATTTTTGATACGTTTTCAGCTTTATCGTGTTTTTCTATCAGAAATTCTGGAGAAAAAAGTCAAATACAAACAGAATTATAAAAATGAAACAAAATCTCTAAATATGTTCACTTTAGGAGTTTTGGATTATTTCGTTCAATGCAGAAAAGAATCAGTCATATTTGACCTTCAGATACATGTACATTGTATGACCCATTAATTGTCTGTACATTAGAAATGGACACTTTTATTAATATTCTATTACTACATGTATGATAGAATCAAAACTGAGGTCGCTTTATTCACCGTCGCATGTACCACTGTTAAAACATATCTTCTATCATTCTTGTAGAGACATAGCTACATGTATCATGTTACATGTATAAGCTGACATGGGATTGTGTAAGGCTTGAGACAATGGATTTTATTTTTTAAATAAAACACAGGCAATTTGGATGTAGTTGAATAAAACACAGGTAATTTGGATGTAATTGACATATAATAAATGTACAGAAGCTTATTTGTTAATAACCAATATATGGGATTTACACTCTGTTTTGTTTTTCTTAATTCAACTATCTTCCTTCAAAACTTTATTTACATAGTCAAAAGATATCTGATAAAAACCTTTTATGTTTCACGAATGATATTCATTTTGAAATGTCACAATAATTCTGGGTATGATACCTTTATGGCATATGTCACATGTCCTCCTATTCCCATGTCTGGGTCTTTAGCAACGATTTCTGAATTTGCTACCCTCGTGCCGACAGTATAGTTCTGAAAACAGAATTAATTAAAGATCTATTAATCTACATAAAAGTTAAAAATTCCAGGGCAAATGCAAGAATTCTAGCAAAAGTGAATATTTAGTGTTAAGGGGTTAATATTTGGGTCTTTTATGGAAAGAAGACAAACATGGATCCATGTCCGACAATTGTAGAATGTTACATACACACTGTAATAGGAACATTGATCGACCTTTACAGAAGATACATTCGAAGACACAAATATTGACCGGAACACTATCTTAATAGTGTAAGTGAAATAATGTACAAATGATCCTAAATGTGACAGTGCTGCATGTAAAATAGTCTAAACATAGCAAAGATTAGTACTCATTTTCACTATAATTTAGCAAATGAACATTGATTTCCTTTTTTTAGTGAGTAATGTATTAGTGATGACATACTAGTAGTTAATAATAATGCCATTTTGTGCCGGTAGAATTAAGTTTGATTCTTACTTACTTCAATGCACGATATCAAAAACGATACAAAGAATATTAAAATATTATACAATTTGCGGTTAATTACTGTGAAATCACAAATATTCGTGTGTAGTTCGGGGGGGGGGGTTAATTTTCAATTTTTTTAAAGTATGAAGAGACCCACGAATTTAAGAGTATAACGAAATACAATTTTTTACGTATATACCTACTGAACAATTCATCAACCACGAAGTCAAATCCTCATAAATCAATTAGCTAGTACTTTCCTCAAACCAAGGAAATTTTAACCCAGCCAAAAAGAGAGGGAATTTTAATACAGCATAAAGTTTGTTGATGACCAATTGCAATTTTAGAATTCCATTTTAATTTGAAAAACAATTATCTTTAATATTAAAAGTTATTTTTGATTTATTGTGTGGAGTGGTTGTAAAAATTGTAGAAAAGCAGTAAGTTTGACTTTTGAGGAAAAAAGTTATTGCTTATTTTTAGGTTCTCTGTAGTTTTTTTTTGTAAATCCACATGCGATTTTGCCTCTCATAGATTTTGTTGTAACAATTTGTCCGAAATTTCTGCTGAACACCTGTTTGTATTCTTGTAATGATCTAGCAAATTATTTTCTTGACCTTGCAATGTATCTCTTCTTGGACTTTTGCGAGAAGCACTGACATTTACAGTTCAGTTTACCTTGACATTTAAACCAGCTTTTTCTTCGGAACTATATAATTGATAATAGATACACGTAAATAGTGCTTATAGTTATGGTATAACTTAATAAGGGTCAACAACATTATCTACCAACTCAAGAGATGATTTGAATAAAATAAAATTACTAAAGGAAAAATGATACAAATAAGCTTTTGTCAAAAATTTGAAAATAACAACTTCAGTCATGATTTACTGAGTTAAATAAATAGGTTTCATTGCATATATTTTAAATTGTTATTCAAATTTTTATTAAACTAGGATTCGAAGTGAAAAATATTTAATAAAAATTCATAAGGATGGTTTCAAAAAGGCAGAATTTTGAAAATCATAGAAGGTTTACAATTTCTTTATATTCTATAAATTTATTAATATTTGCTCCATTTTCAATGAAATTAGGCAACAAATATATACCTATCCAGGCATCCATTTTTGTTAGTATCATCTGTCCTCACATTACCTAATATATGAGAGATAATTTCTTCTTTTATTTTCAATTTCGAAAGAAATTTTAAAAAGAAGAACAAGAGGCCTACGGATCACATCGCTCACCTGAGCACTTGGGCTAGTTAAAAAACACAAATCAGCTCATTATGTCGACAAAATAGAATAAGAATGATTGGCAGTTTTTGTCATGGCTTTATTGATTAATAGTCAAATTAATCATCAATACAATCAATAGTCAAAATCAATCATCAATACAATCAATAGTCAAATCAATCATCAATACAATGAATACAATGATGTACACAAGGTATCTCTACAATGA